GAAAAAAGAAGTTCATATTAGATTGTCACTAAAAAAAATCTAGTGATACTTTGTAGACAACAGTACTCTCAAGATTGGGTGGTTCAGGGATTGCTAAGAGGATACATTTTTCCTTTCTAGATCAGAACTTCAAATCCAGTATGGGACAAAAAACTGCTTACCTACTAGACAGCTATTAGCTGATAGCTATGGAAGAGAAATAGTGGTCTTTCCAGTTACTGCAAGTCCACTGTCATTGTTATAAAACAGCTGTCATTTGACACTTTTTTGCAGTGTTGCAAAACATACAAAACATGAATTAAATAGGCTTTGAGGCAGAACTATCCTTCCCTACAAATAAACTTGTTGAGCTATGATAGCACGTAGATAGTGTGCACTAGATAGTGTTTGAAAGCTTTCGCTGCCTCTGTTGTGCTTGTATCTGTTTGGATAAATAAAGGCCTGAAGTCTTCAGATCTGTAACCTTATAAAAACTTTAATTTTAAAATGTCTTATCTGAAATTAGGTAGGCAGGACTGTTCTGTACATTAGCTGTTTTCCAGTATTAATACAATTTACTGGGGCTTGAAAAAAAATGACTAATATGGTATGGTACCATATTTCTGTATTGACATGTCTCACGTGGCCATGATATTTTTATTTACTGTAAGTGTCATGATTCTTATCCTGTTAGGAAGTGTCATTTTATGTTTGCCTGCTATAGGGTTGAGGTATAACTACATTTAAATGGATAAGACATGTAAAATACCTGCTGTAACCATAGTACATTTATTAGTAGGTTTAAGTCAGAATTAAGGTAACTGGTCCACAAGTTGACCTTAAAATTGTTTCCCTACCAGGAAAATGAGGGTTGTGGTACTTGGGTTTTGGTGGGGGTGCGGAAGAATGGGGAGGGGGTTGGTTGTTTTTTTTACACACACACACACACACATATATATATAAAAGCATTTTTCCGAGAGCACTGTGTAATATGCAGCCAGAGGAAGAATTCAGCGTATTACAGTGCCTGCCTGGCAAGTCATCCATTTCTTACAGATTTCAGTGGCATTTACAAGGAACTAATTATTTTTAGCTGCAAAATGGATATGCTTGTCCTTCAGTGTACCCAGAGGTTAAGTTCAGGTCAGATGCTTGTTCATTTGGCAGCAGGGTATTATGTTTTGTTTATCTGATTTAGGAATTTATCGGTTCTGACCTGCCAAGGACTCAAAGGAATCTATTCTGGAAATGTGTGCAGATCAAAGGGTGTTGCAGTCACCTTGGGAGTCATGAGTTTGTATCACAGTAGAAGTGGTTATATTGTGCAAAAGGTTGCATTCCTGTGAGCAAATCTGACCACTTCTCTCAACATCTGATTCACCTCTTATCACCTGACACACAAACTGGATTACTGGAAGAAATGCTATGTCCTGTGTTTCTTATTTTCATCTTTTATGTGAAAAAACACTAATTTGGATGGAGTTAAAGGCATAGAAAGGAGACGGAGTCTGAGATGGTGGACATAATTAGGACAATTAAAATTGAGAACAGGGCTGGAGATACTCAAATCAGTTGGGATGTATACCTGGCTCTTCTGCAGACTTCCTCTCCAGCAAGTTTCTTGACATCTTTCTTCGTGTGTGAAATTGGAATAATAATTCCCCTACATAACACAAGTATCAAGATCAAACATTAATTTGACCATGAGAATCTCTCTTTGATTACACTGGGGCGTTCAAATGCAGAAGTAATGTTTGTTGATACTGGGCAACAAATGTTTATATCCTTATTTGGTGAGTGTTGTTGGGGTTCAGCCATGTTCTCTAATATGAAGAAACTTAGTCTCTGCCCTCCAGGAGCTGATAGACTAAAATGGGCAGACACCCTACTTTAGATACAGATAATTGGATGCCCAGGGATTGGAAAGTATAAATTACTTGTGCTACTTATTGTTAAAGGATCTAAATCATACACTTTGATAAGAATTACAAATAGATTTTTCTACCTCCATTGTGAAGATAAAACTATTTTTTTTCCTCCCCAGGTGTGTCGGATTGAACTAGGTTTTCGACCTAATGAAATTCAACATATCGCCTTTAAAATACCCAAGATTTTAACTGCAAACAAAAAGAAATTAACGGAAACATTTGACTATGTCCATAATGTGATGGGCATTCCCCATCACATCCTTACCAACTTCCCTCAGGTGAGATACTTTTTAAATATTAGTTCAAATGAAAATGCCATTGGCACAGGCAAGTTAATAGTCTTCGCTGGGCCAACAGTAAGGTCAGAATTATACAGTTATGTATAGGCTTTTTCAAGTGTTTTGTGGCAGCTTTGTGTTTTTGCTTAAGCTAGAACAATTTTTATCAGCAATCATGCATCCATGTCCAGTTTGGTGCAGCAACAGGACTAAAAATTCCAGTTTGGGGGGTCATTCAGGGGCGACGCGTAGGAGGTGCACACAGGTGCACATGCACCCCCTGAGAGTGGTGATGCACCCCCTATAGAAAGGCACCACTGCTCGCCACCCTGCCACCGGTCTGCAGGCAGTCCGCAATCCCTGCGCTGGCTGCTGTCCTTGGTTGGCGCTCACCTCCACCCCCAACCCTCCTGCCAACAGCACTGGCAGGGGCTGCAGGAGCTCCCCCGCTTACCGCTGCCGGGCTTTTCCTGCCACTGCTGTGCTCCTGCCGCCACCGTACCCCGCCAGCTGCCGGAGGCACAAGCTGTTCATGGGTTCATTTAATGCTTTTTTTTTCTCCTCACTCAGTCCAGCGAATAAGTTCTTTTGCTGTAGAAAACAAGTCTTCACATTGATCTCTACTGGCTTGATCCACAACATAGATCAATATCTGTTATGGACCCCTTGTTATTTTCCCTCTCCACTGACTTAAAACTTGATGCCTACATATGAGGAACAGTAGAGTGTTCTTTCTAAATAATTGAAAAACAAAAAAGTATCCCCTTTTATTTACCTTTTAGCTCCTTCTCAAAGTGAAGTACTCACAATGTGACCTATCAGATGATTGTTGGAGCAGAAATCTACAAAAAAAATTTTACTGAAGCATTGCATGAATAGTTAAGACACTCAATTTAATATTTTTTCCTCTGCTGTCTAGTTTAAATATTTTCATAAAATGTACATGTATTACCCTTTAATAAAAGTAAACAATATGTTTGAATAATCTAATGCACTGCTGAAATGTGATCACTGTTGACTGGAAAAGAGAAACTTTTTAAAAGAAAAGTAACGTGCAGTTTATTAACTACAAGGGAAGTAGTGCAGGAAGGAAGGGACTGTAGTCATGTCACTTAATCTAATATCTCTATTCCTGAGGAAAAAGTTGTGGGATAGTATGGGATAATTATAAAGAAATCAGGACCAAGCACGGGGAATGTTAAGTAAAAACTGGGGAGGTGGCCCTCCTTTAGCTCTGCTTGTGATTTCCCAATACCCACCCCCCTTTTCCCTCCAGTGCCAAGATCTGGTGTGATCTTTCTCCAAAGCTCACCTCTTCATCCTTCTCTGTTCACATTCTATAACACTAAGGCATATGGCCTCACTGTCTATCTTCCTTGAACTCTGCTGCCTTAGGTGCTGTTCACTTCCTTTTTCTTGACCTCATGCACTCTTCATGATGGCATCGTCTCTTGTTTTTCTTTAAAGCACATTTTTAGCATTTTATTGCATCTCTCTTCATGGTTCTTTGCCCTTAAGACGCTCCCAGAACTTTCTGCTCTTGGCTCCATCATCTCCTACTGCCTCAAGACTGAGCAGTGGAAGAGGCAGGCAGAATCTCATCCTTTTAAACCTCAGCTCTGGCTTATGAGAAGTCAAGGGGAGAAAAGATAACTTTTAAGAGAACCATCAAATTGTGTGTGTTCCTTGTTGTATAACCACGTGATCTTAGTACGCGTATCCTTATTTTAGTCTCTTACTGTCTTTGTGCTTACTTAGTATCATGTGATATTTAGACCACATTTTTCAGTCAGGGAAGACAAGTACTGGTGTACTGGGGTGGGCCAGTGGTTAATCTAGTGTGGTATTCTGCTCCTGACAAATGTTGCCCCTTTGGAATCCTTACTATAAGATCTGTAACAGGTTCTGTATTATAGGACCCCAGTGGTGGCCTAGGTGCACCTCTGAGATCACTTTCAAGTTGCTCTCACACTTTCAGGGGCACCTGTCAGCTCCAACTCCCTCCCTGACTTCTGCTGCTTGACCACTGTAAACCAGCTAAGATGTGTCAGGGGCCAGCTCTTTGGCTTATGGTGACTCAGCCTCACTGGTCTCACCCAGACTCTGCCAATTCTTAGCAGAAGTAATTTTGCCAGCAAGAAGAATCACACCCTTGTCTGGTTATTGCACTCAGAAAAGATGGATTTCGTTTTCCATAGAATAGGCAAGCCCATATGGTCAAATACTCTGGAATTGCAGTTAACACTGACAATAAGCAGGTAAAAAGACAGAAAAAAGGATCTATTATAAAAAAACAAACAACAGTCCTAAAAAATAAGTAACTATATGTTGAGATACAGACTGAAATATAAGACTAAGCAAATGAAAATATCAGACTAACTTATTCTTACCCTGCACCTTAAACTGAAGGATGTAATCCCTAGCCAGATTCAACAGGTTAAAAAGCAGTTTCTGCCTGTGATTCCCGTCAGACCCTCCTGCAAAGTTCCCCTTCTGTCCCAGGGAAACAAGACAAGATCATGCTCTTGAGGCAAGTTAGCTACAGTTACTTATCTGGCTACTCACAAGTGTCAGCTCTTGGATTCTTGTGGGGCCAACATTATGTATATGCCTTCATGTCCCGTTTCCCTGCCTCTCCCCCCCCAAGTTCATGTTTGCCAAAACAATAATCTTTCCTCCTCTAATTAAGACCAGGAGAGTATGTGCATCCTTTCAGACATGGAGACTGTCAATCTTAAAGATGTTGTGTTTTACTTAATTTGCTCCAACAGTTTGACTAGCCAAGTGGTGTTATTTTTACAGCTTGTTTTGTATGATGTAAATTCACCATTCTACCAGGGAGACAAAGCTTCATCCATCATGGACAAGCCATTACTGCCTGTCAGCCACTTATGCTTGGGGTCCTTCCTAGGAGTTAAAGAAACTCAATTACTTACTGCTTGAAAGTCATTATCATATTGTGCAATCTGGGGCCTATTGTAACATATAAGAAGTATACAGGTGAGGAGAGGGGCGCATAGGTGATGGGGGGGGGAGGGGCGGGGCATGCTGGTGCTCCCCCCGATAGCGAGCACTCAGGCTGGTAGCAGGGTATGGAGAGCGCTGCTGTGCTGCATGCAGAAGTTCCGGTGCTTCTGCCGTCGCCGTGCTGCCGGCATGCTTGGCAAGCCCTCCCCCACTCCCTCACTGATGCCCCCCAAGACTCGGGAGGTACCAGTTGCCCATGGAGGGGAGCAAGGAATAGGAGAGGTGGGGGGCGGGGGGGGGAGCAGGCACCTGAGCAGATCATCAAGTCCGACCCCCTGCCATGATAGGAAAGAGTACTGGGGTCAAAGGGCCCTGGCAGGGTGTTCATCCAGCCTCCTTTTAAAGACCCCCAGGGTAGGGTCTCTTGGAAGTTGGTTCCAGATCCTAGCCGCCCTGACTGTGAAGTAGCGCCTCCTGATAGTGAAATAGCGTCTCCCCCACTGTGTTCCCCCTCCCCTGCCAAATGAGCCATTCTGGCCTGGGGAAGGCACCAGCTCAGGCTTCAGCCCGGAGCTGGTACTCAAATCTAAGATGAGTGTTTTTTCCGCATGTTGATTGGGGAATACACCTCTTTGGATTTGAGTAAATACTGTAATTTGTTTTAGAAGCCAAATTGCGCAGTGAAGCAGAAGGAGTTTTATCAGAATTCTTTGGTTTTAACCCTGGCTGTTTTAACTCTCGATCTTGTTTTCTGTATAAAGTCCCACCCTGTTTTTGAATCCTACAGAGCTC